ATGATCCATGAACCCCCACCAGTCTTCCTATAATATATATATATATATATATATATATATATATATATATATTGTATATTGCATATATTATTCAATATACTTAAGCATGCACACGTGCAACTAATATTTTCATATTTTAATTATTCGAATTATCCTATATGATGCTATACTGCTATGTTGTACTATGTGAGTAAAAAAAAATAAAAAAAATAAAAACAAGGGTTAGATTGTATATTGTATATTGTTGAACTATGTCGAACTGTTGACACATTTCGTTGTTTCAAAGCTACTCACACTTGGGCTCATAAAGCAACCTCAAATTTACTACACTTGAATTGTATATGTTTTCTTCTAGGTACCCTTTTTAGGAATTGGAAGTTCATCTAAATTGAACTTGAAGTTTCAAATTTAGTGCTTTGAAACCTAAAGTTTTCATAAAACACCCATGTATTTAACCTGAAGTTTTTCATGCAAATTAACTAAACCATGTCTTAAGACCTGAATGTTCTAACTTTGCTGCATATTGAGGTTTTATTTCTCATAGCACCAACTACAATCGTGTTCCCTCCATTCTTTGGATTATCGAACAGTCACAAGTTTGATTTCACTGATTTGGACGTTTCTGATGGAAACTACTTTATGTGGGTACAAGACGTGAAGATTCACTTGACTATGGAGAAGCTGAGAAACCATTAAAGTCATCACAGGGCATGAATAAAGCTGAATAAGCCTTCGACATGATCTTCATTTGAAGACTTATGCCTGAAGCATTACAAACGGAAGTACCTCGCTAAAGAGGATTCCATGGCTATTTGGTTAGCTCTACGGACCGTTTAATCATAATAGCTGATCTTGCGTGAAACAAAACATGATTAAAACCTTTATGTCCATGAATAGGTACCATTTTGAAGTTTATAAAATCTGATCAAAACCAAAGTTGTGTTAACCAAATCACATGCTTATCTAAAGTCGTGCACCCCTTTTATTGTGTAGAAATGAATCCTTCATTTACAAGCACATAGGAAAAATAAGAGAGAAAGCAGGGAGGAGCATTACTAAAGATGGACGCATGGTGTGGGACTTGGTCTAGGAAAAGAGAAATTTTGGGCAGTGTGCTCAAACATGCATCACTAGGCTCCTAGCCTCTGCAATGTTATACCAAAAAGGAAACTTGTAGCTACAACCATGGAAAGATGAAGGAAAACTCAGCTGATTTAGAAGAGGAGAAGAAATCAAGAGATTCTCCAGCTGGAGCCTAGAAGGATCCCTGCTTCTATAAATACAATGCACTAGTACACTGTAAAAGGGGGGGGGGAGAGAGAACCACGCGAGGGAAAAAGAACAATAAGGGCAAGTATGCATTACACAGAGCAAGCTTCCTCTAAGTGCAGGAAACCTAGTTCTTTATAAATAAGCCTTCTTTTCATCCTGAGCCTTCCAATAATCTTCCTTAACTCCTGCAAAACCACCAAACCGTTAGAAAGCCTAGATTAGCTACTTTGAAACCACACGGCCAAGAACTACCTTTATCTCATGTTAAACTTCCACATTGCACATCATTCATGCAAGTCATAACTTATTATGACTACTCAGTTGTTTCCAGTGTTTGTTAGTTTAACAAATACTCCTTAAAGCTTCCAACAGTAGCGCCAAGGAAAACACTCCATCAACGCTTAGGGAAACACTTCATCAACGTCCAAGGAGACACTTCATCGGCGCCTAGGGCAACACTCATATGCACTCAGAGAAACACTCCATCAACTAGGATTGGAAAAAAAATTCCAAATTACCCGAACATGACCGAAAAATCCCGAAAAGTTTGGTAACCCATACCAAAAAAATTCCAATATTTCGGTACGGGAATTGGGACATGGTCGCCAAAGTGTTCAGTAATCCCCAACCGATACACACACACACACACACACACACATATATGTGTGTGTGTGTGTGTGTGTGTGTGTGTGTGTGTGTGTGTGTGTGTGTGTGTGTTGTATTTATTAGCATAAATCGTAAGCATTGGATTTTGTTGATTAAATCTCAACCGTTGGGGTCAAAAACTCACTCTCTCTCATCTCTCAAATTAGGTATGCACTCTCTCTCACTCATACCTCTTGAATCTCTATGCACCCTCTCCTTTCCTCCTCCGCTCTGTCAACACTCAATAGACTCAACACATGATGGAAATTTGCTCAAAAACATGAAAATTTAAAATTATTTTTTTAGGGAATGTCATATGAAGACACAACATACGTATGAATCAAGAATTAATGATTAGATATTGTGTAAACAATAAGTATGTGATATGTGAGAAGAAAAAAACTTCCTTCTAATGACAAGTAATAAGATAAAGCATTTCACTAGAAAGAATAAATTTTACATAAGTTAATTGAAATTTTCGTCATGAAAGCAATACATGTTTTATTGAAGTAAACTAATACCATAAAGAAAGAAATTAAAAAAACAAAGAATACATAGGGTCATGGATATTTCCTGCAAACTTTTTACAAATTGTCTGCAAACATTGAATATTTCCTAAAAATATCGAGGAAAATGACTGATTTTCGGAAATATTACGAATATGGGGTGAAGTTCCCCTTTTTCCATATCATTTCCTGAATTTTTGGATATTTCTGTGGAAATATCGAGCATATCCAGGATATTTCAAACAATGGACTCAACACATCGGTTGTTGAGTCATTGACCACCACACCTTTACGGACTACGACTCCTCCATATTCCAGATCCAGACTTCTACGGTTCCCACTTCCATCTCCCACCACGATCTCCAATCAAAGCTTCTTTGATTTGAACGGTACCAAGATTCATAAAATCGATTTGGATTCTGAAATTGTGAATTATGGTTTTGAGCTTTCAATTTGGGGATTTAGAATTAAAATTAGGATTTCTGTTTTGAAAACACCTCATTTCAATTACTGCTTGATGTCTTTGTATTTGGTTCAATTTTTCTACTTTTGAATTTTGATTGAGGGCTTTCTTCGATCTGTGTAAATTTGGAATTTGGGGATTGCAAACTTGTGATTTTGATGCATTCATACGATCTTTCTAAATTGTGTTAGGATATGCTTTTCCTAATCTTGAACCGAAAAATCAAAACAACTTCGGAATACTGAAATTTCGGTTTGGTTTCGAGTTTTGAAATCCCATCCGAAAAGGATTAGTTTGGGAATCGGGATTTGGGTTTCGGTTTGGGATCCTGACCCGAACAAGCCTCATCATCAACGCGTAGGGAAACACACGTTAGCGCCCAGCGAAACACTCTGTCAGCATTGAGGGAAACACTCCATTAGTGCATAAGGAAACACTCCATCAGCACTAAGGTAAGCATCTCATCAGTGCTGGAAGCATTCAACATAACACCAGACCAATCATCCAGGAGTTGTTGGAAGATCAACAAAGCATTCCCTCCAACTTGCTTTTTCTTTAAGATGCTTTGGGCCTAGCACTCGCTAACTTAGAAATGGAAAACGTGAGGGTTTTAGCTCATCTCTTTGTAACACAAGCTCATCAAAACCCTTCAACACGAAAAACCCCCCAACACTCCGATTCTATTATTCTCACTCATTTTCAAATTTTTAATAATTATTATCTTGTTATCTTGGCCCCTCATGAAAATGTCATGACAAAGGCCACACATTGACTTGTGCACTTTGGTAGGCAGCATGCTCCAATTCCGTAGTGCTTACTTTTAATAAAATATATTTTTTACAAACCTCACATATCTTCTTTTTGTAGATTTTGGGGCCCTACTACCCTTCCAACCTTATCCAACACTGGAGAACTGAAGCGGCCAAAACCCTAAAAAAGATGAGAAATAAGAGGTGCAAGATTACGTGGAGGCAATGAAAGCTGTTGCATGAGAGAGCTTGCTCATATTCTTCAGGAGATGCTTATTAGTGCTAAACCATGGATATGAATGATTAGGTTGAGGCGTTTCTCAGTCTTCATCGTCCCTAAACCGACCTCAGCGATTTCGGCGAGGCAGAGTAGAGGTGGATAAAGCACACCAGAACTGGTGAGTTATGGCGTGGATTTAAGATGATGAGCAACATACTTGAGACGACTGAAAACATAATCACAGTTAACCCTGATACAAAAACTGAAAGTCTGAAACCATCTGATGAACGAGTTAGGCGTTTGGCACCGAATGGACGCCGGGGTTGCCAAGGTTGCAGATTTTAAGCTGTAGGCATAAAAATTAAGACTTCTATATGATATCCAGAAAGCCAGGAAAAATAAATTGGATTACGAGGGAGGGAGGGAGCCTGGAAAACATTTGGAATGAGAGGAGCAAAGACGATCTAATACCCAAATCTCGTAAATAGTTTAAAGATGAGACTCCATCGACATGCACAATCTTTGTCACGGACTCACGGGCAGATTCGAAACGTTCAAGAACTACAACGTGCATGCAACGTAGCTATCACCGCCATAACCAAAAAAAGAACAAAGAATCGAACATGAATCTTCTCTACAATCTGATTGTCATTATCAAAGTTTTAGCTGTGATTGAAAGAGACAGTACATCACCCACTAAATAGTTCAAAAACACACAATCATTTATAAGGCATAAAAACCCCATGAAGTCTAAGCACTAGGATTATAACTACGATCTAATTGTACGGGAAGTGTAAAAAGATTTTTTACGTAAAATGTACGGCACATTCTATCTTGAAACCGCTTCAACTTATGCAGTCAAGAGCTGGTATTGTGCCGATTCAATATCTGCAGCTGATAACTTGATGATTGGCAGTACTAGTGCCAATCAACTCGGCCAGTGCAAGAAAAATCTGAAGAAAAAAAAGGTCGAACGCAGCTATATACAACAGCCAACGACCCTATCAGAATGAGCATGTATCATAACATCAGATATCTTAGCATAACTCATTCATCTGATACTAAACTATGGCACAGAAAGTGTGTCATTGCCCAAAGAAGAAAATATAAACGATAAGGAAGAATATCATCACGTCCCAGAGAACAAATGGAAAACTCATAAGAACAGGTTTTACTTGAGGGGTATCAAAACCATTTATTGAGCCCCACAGGACGCAATGTCCTACATTAATCTATTATACGTTACAAGAATACAGTATGCTCAGCCTCCTTTACCGGGGCTTATTGCTGCCAAAATTGTTAGTAAATAAATCATCCCCTCAACTAAACAATAATAATGGAAAGACTCGCTCCCAAAGCAATATAACTGAATTCTCTCCATGAGAAAAACAGTCCAAAGAATTGAAATTGTCCAAAACCCTAGCTAGCACCTTACGCATCAAGAGAATGGCGTGTTCACCTTTTAAAGGTGCAATATAATAAGTTATGCAGCAGCAGACTGCTTCTCCTTGTAATCATCGAGATTAAGAGCTTCAAGCAACTTGGGCCAAGACTCCGGGATCCCTCCTGGCAAATCAAACTCCAACAATTTCCCTCGACTGCGGTAAAACTCCTCTACAGGCCGACTCTGGGAGAACCATTAAAAATAAAATCATCAAAATGAAGTGAAGATAACATTGAAAGGAAATGTTCTATTTTCATCCCTCATAGCATTTTAAAATGTTATTCAAATGTGCCCCTGACTAATCATCAGGAAAATAAAGCAATACCTTCTCATTGTAAACGTGAATCCGATGTTTAATCACTTCTTCAGTATCGTCCGCTCGAGTAACAAGCTTTGACATACAATGTGCAGGGGGGAGAAGTGGAGCCATGCTAATTGCAGGATGTCCATTTGCGCCCTTGACATTAATGGACGCCACATTAAAATTTCCTCCGCACTGACTACAAGTTCTCCTCCCAAGGCATTTCTCGAGCAGCACATCTTCCCGGAGCTTCAGATTGAGCACCAAATCAATCTCTGTCACCCCTTCCAATATTTCCTACACATACATTGTTACACACAATCAATCCTCAAGCACATTTCCACCAATTCAATACAACGTAACATTAGCAATTCCAAGATATCTGCTTTCAATCAGTCAATTGCTCATCCAGATCAATCAAATTCGTTTAAATCGGATCACAACCCAAAAAAAAAAATGCAGATCTGACGAAGAAAGTAAGCAATCAGAAGAACAAAAAACCTCTTGGGAGAGAGGGCCGGAGGAAGCGAGCTCTTCGCGGACGAGATCTCCGGTGGCGATGTGAGGAACGCCGAGCAGATTCGAGAGCCGACTGGCGTACGTGCCTTTTCCGACGCCCGGCGAGCCCAGGAAGACCCACTGCACGCTACGGTCCTTGGTGTCCTTCACCGCGAGATTGGGCGTCGACCCCAAGCGCGGGCTGTAAGACGAGGCGCCGTGAGAGGAGGTATCCGGCGCGACGCCTGAGTACAGGGACCGGCTTATGCGGGAGAGGGAGGAGAGGGAGGAGAAGGAGGATTTTGATAGGCGGGTAAGGGCCGCCATTGAAATGGCGAAGTTTGCAGAGTGTGATGGGAGGGGACTGAGAAAGTTAGTTGGCTGTTGGGAAAGCGTTCGGTTTTATGCCCGCTCAACCCTAACGACTGATGTCGTTTTTTAACCAACTTGTTAGGGCAAACGATTTGCCGTTCCTACACCCTTGGTAGGACGGAATGCTCAGGAATCGCCACGTGTGTTCTCATTTCCCACAAATAAAACCAACGGTCGAAAGGTCGCCACTTTCCCTCGACTGCTTCTTCTCTGAGAAACTATGGCGGTTACTCTCTGTGCAACGCTCTTCTCCAGCACCCTCCAGCTTAATCGGACCACCAATCGCAGTTCTCCACGTGTATTCCCCGCGCAATCTTCGAATTTGAAGTCCAGCTTCGTCCTCAATGTCAACAGCTGCAACGGACTCGTCAAGTTCTCACCGCGCCAATCCGCCGTCGTAGCATCCGCCGTCTCTGGCTCCCCCGGCAAGTGTTCCTTTTCCAATAATCTGTTTGGTTTCCAAGAAAATCTAGAAAGTAGAAAACTATTATAATCCTGTGCGGACGTGAGCAGGGATCGACTCTTCTTTGAGCGGTGAAGATGCGGCGAGTTTATTGGAAACGGTGAAAGTGTTTGATTTGAACGGGAACGGGATTCCGATATCGGATTTGTGGAAGGACAGGACAGCTGTCGTCGCGTTTGCGCGCCATTTCGGGTGAGTTTCTATTACCAATTGAACTATTTCTTTCTGTACTGAGATTGGATTAGCAATCGTTAATCTGTATTTGTTGAGAATTAAAGCGTTGTGTAATTATCAGATGTGTCTTTTGCCGAAAGCGGGCTGACTATCTTGCATCAAAGAAGGTATTTACTCATTGATCATTATATATAATTTGCAGCTTCCTTGCCATCAAAGATTAGTACGTGTTAAATTTAATTGTTGAATGGGAACTTTGCCATTTCCACAAGGCATACACTGAAAGCCTCCGCGAGGAGGAGGATGTGCGTAATTACCTTTGGGTAGCGATTTTCGCGCTCCTTAGTTTTTCGTCAATTGAATATTAGACGATTGTTTCTGCACTTGCATTGAAATCTCTTTGGTCGCAACACAATTTTGACATTTCTTCGTATGTTGACAGGATATAATGGATGCATCTGGTGTGGCGCTTGTTTTAATCGGACCTGGTAGCACTGATCAGGTTTGCCCTTAGAAACTGTATTTGATTCATCTGCCATCGGTTGAGAGTTAATTTTTTTCTGAGGTTTCGTTATCTATTCCTTGTTTTGATTTGTTAAGTGAAATGACCGTTTATAGCCATGATGGCTAATTCGTGTAGGCAAAAGCATTTTCTGAGCAAACAAAATTCAAGGGAGGTAAATCTCAAGAGAGCTTGTGTTATCTACCTTGAAGGGTTCATTTTTTCTCCTCCTTAGGACATCTCAGTCACAAAATTTTATTTTGTTTTATTGTATTTCAGAAGTTTACGCTGATCCCACTCACTCATCGTATGAGGCGTTAAGATTTGTTTCTGGGGTCACAACTACGTTCACTCCCAAAGTAAGAAACATTTTATGTTCTTTTATAAAGGTAGCTAGTGGAACTTCTCATCTAATTTTGCTTCCACCACATTATAGGCAGGTCTTAAGATAATAGAGTTGTACATGGAAGGTTATCGACAAGACTGGAAGCTTTCATTTGAACAGGACACTGTGGCCAGAGGCGGCTGGTATATCCGTGTATCCATATCTTACGACAAGTTATATATATCATGAGAGGATTCACCTTTTGTTACGTTCTTGTTTATTTGGCAGGCAGCAAGGTGGAATAATAGTTGCAGGCCCTGGTAAAAGTAACATTTTGTACATTCACAAGGTTAGTCTTTCCGTCCTTCTGTCTGAATGGGAGTTAATCACGTGATAGTAATTGGTTCAGATTGAAACTTCACCATGAAATCTGGCAGTATTTGCTGATAAAACACTCCACTGTGATTAGGAGAACAGAAACGAGGGGATTTTCAAATGTTCCTCAAAGTAAAAATGAACCAATATTTACAATTAGATCCGTTAAAAGATTTCCTCTTTCCTTTCCCATTAAGACAGGAACTCTTGCTCATGGCATTTTCGGACTTCTAGATTCTCATGCTAGGAATTTCATGTTAATAAACACCCTTTTTTCTCCCCCACTTGATAATTCACACTTTAGGCAAAAACACTGCAAACTCAATTGTTTAGAGATCACTGAACTATGTAACATGAAAAGGATTTCACAATTAAGAATCAATTAGAGAATGATAATGAGCTCTTAAATGTTTTCTTATAAAAGTTATAGTTGTCAGGTCGTTTTTCCTAATTTGTTATTTCTTTTTCCGGTTGGAGTAGGATAAAGAAGCTGGGGATGATCCAGATATCAAAGACATTCTCAAAGCATGTTGTGGTTCGTGAATTCTAGTAATCTTTACCTTTGTCTAGTGATTGTGGATCCTATGTCAAGTCATTTCAAATTCCTCATCGAATCAGTGCATTCCTAACTAATTAGCCTAAATCCCGTTATACTTGCAAACCTCTTGTCCAAACATACGCAGGAAAATCGTGTTATAGCGAATATTGTAATGTTGTACCGATCAGTCCATGAAGTAAGGATCTAATTCTAGAAAGATGAAATTGTTCTTCTGGAACACAAATTAATTTTCTTGATCGAAGGATTAATTTTCTTGAACAAATAACGGAGCAACGTGGAAGCAAGAACCCGGTCTCCTGATCGAAGGATTAATTTTCTTGAAGAATGTTGTTCTTTTGTTGGGGGAAAAAAGATGAGTGATACGTGTGAAGAGAAATGTTAGTTCTGAGCTTAGGTTAGGGTTTGTGGTGGGTGTAGATAGTAAGGCTGTCCTAAGGTTTGAAGGAATATGTCCTCGGTAGCATTTTTCACACAAATAGGTTTTATTTTTATTCGAAGTGGATGAATTCAATGCCTAAATAGAATTTTATGTAACATTTTTGTAAGTTTAGGTTGACCATATAAACAAAGCTTATTAAGGGTTCAAGTTTGGGTGACCTGTTAAAAATGCAATTTGTGATCCACACGTCATGAAAAACGAAGTAAATAATGCCCAACTAGGCGAACTTTAGCACGATAATATTGAGTTTGACTTGGCTTGTTTACAACCATATTATATTGCTCGTTGGTCATATGATCGTCATATTCAAAATCTGAACTTACAAAGCATCTTCCCTGAAGATTACCTTCTCTGATGTTGACTTTGGAAAAATATGTCATGTTGTGATAAGATATTGAGGTAATACCAACTTATTTCTGCGTCAAGTACACAATCATTTAAAATTTATCAGTTTTTTATATTCGTGTAATTATTGTATGTCACTGGAGCACGGCCAAATGCTATACTTGTATACGTGTTATAATATGTGTTGATGTTTTTCATTTCGAGGTAGTTATTTACTATAAATTAACAAATCACACATTAGAGGGAAGCTTCCTGGATGTTTTCTTTATAAAATGGTTCGAGAAAGTTTGGTAAGCTTTGAATAGAATATATACAGACAAACACGGCTCCTGAGCAATGGGACATGAAAGCAATGACAAATATTGCCAGAGAAAATCTATCTGCAATTATTCGAAAGTTTCAAACTTAGACTAGTTCTCTATGCATGTTTGTAATTTACTATCTCGGCAGCCTATGTGCGATCCACCATATAAGTTTTGATTCAATAGTCTTCGGTCACTCAATTTAAGTCGTTGGATCATCTAACAGTCAAATATGTGTTAACATTAAGTGTTACTAATGAAAAATCTATGCAAGAGACTTCTATCAAATTGCAAGAAAATTGGGGTTCCATCGTAAAATGAATTAGTTATATATGAGTTAAGCACTTTTCTCTGATGTGGGCATACTCTCAACATGTTCTCTCACGTGTGGCGAAATTTTAAACTTAACACGTGGACAATACAAATGACATGAAGCACGCGTGCCCATTGTGCTTCACACGTGAGACAACCTGCTATATTACCAGAAAGAAAGTTGCGTTTCATCATAAAGTCAATTGGTAATATGAGGAGTGGTCCAATCAATTAGAAGTACATGCAATGTCCTTTTTTTTTTTTTTTTCTGATGCGGGATTCTCTCTTAACATGCTCCCTCACGTGTGACACATACAAATCACGTGATGTGGGGCAAGTGTGGTTATTGTGCTTTACACGTAAAACAACCTGTTATAATACCATGAAAAAAGTTGGATTCCATCATTAAATTAATTAATTATATGAAAAATAATCAAATTACTTATAAATGTAAACAAATTTTTATTCCTCCAATGAATATGATTCACTCTCAACAATAATTCACGGACCACTTTTCCAAAAGAAAAAAGAAAATGGCATTGACCACATGGTCCAACTCCAACCTACATAAAAATATCAAAATAATGTATAAAAATCACTCACCACACATGGTCTAACGAGCCTTCAATCTGCTTCTGGGTTTCTCTTTTGTTGGTCAACTTCTTACTGGTTTCTCTACTAGTTAGTAGTTACTCATTGTCTTCCTCGTATCAGTAAACAAGAAGGAAGGATGGCAGAATTCCTTACTTTTGCTGCTGAGGGGATACTGAAGAGAGTCGCTTTACTTGCCGAACAAGAATTCAGTCTTCTCTGGGGTTTCAAAAAAGAACTCACAAGGCTTCGTGACTCACTATCCAAGATCCAAGCTATGCTACGGGATGCACAACAATCGCACGTTCGGGGCGAGACTGTGGAAATGTGGGCGAAGGATCTTGAGGACATAGCTCTTGATGCTGACAATGTCTTAGATGAATACGAATATGAAGTTCTCCGGCACAAGGTAGAACTGCAAAACCATATGAAGAAAAAGGTGCTCAACTTCTTTTCACACAACAATCCTGTTGCATTTCGGCTCAAAATGGCACATAAAATTAAGAACATTATTGCATCGTTGGCAAATCTGAAGAACGAAGCAGCTAGTATAGGACTAGTTGCTAGGTCAACATTCGTTGATGCAACCTCTGATGATATGGGAGTGCTTGACAGGGAAACAGTCTCCGGCTTTGATCGAGATGAAAAGTACATTGTTGGAAGGGAGGAGGTTGTGTCTGAGATAGTTACAACCTTGATCAACTCAAGCAAAAATAAAGAGAATTATCTTTCAGTTATGGCCATCGTGGGGTTGGGGGGCTTGGGAAAGACAACCTTAGCTAAATCGATATATCATGAATATGAGATAGATAGACACTTCGATAAAAGAATATGGATATGTGTGTCCACCCCTTTCAAAGTCAAGTCGATTTTAAAAGGGATCTTGGAATATCTTAAACCAGAAAAAGCTGCAATACAGCATAAGGCAGCAATTTGTGAAAACCTCCAAGAAGATTTGAGAGGGAAGCGATATCTTCTGATTCTCGATGATGTTTGGAACGAGGATCCTCAGCAATGGGATAATTTGATGAGTTGTTTGTTAAACGTTAGAGATACTCAAGGAAGCATCATTGTTGTCACTACTCGCAGTGTCAATGTTGCATCAGTCGTGCAAACACTTCCTAGGCATGATTTGGGAAAACTATCAGACGAAGAATGTTGGCTCGTATTGAAGGATAAAGCATTTGCAGATAGAAGTGCTTCTATTACCGAAGATCAAGAAAGAATTGGAAGGGAAATCGCTAAAAAATGTGCAGGTGTTCCCAGTGGCGGATCCAGGATTTTAACTTAGGGTGGTCCCAATATAAAAGTTCAAAAAAAAAAAAAAAAACAAGACGAAAATATCATTGAACAAATAAATGGCAAACTACAAATTTCATTCATAATCTTTGTGCAAAACAAGCTAGAAATACTAAATTTGTCCACGACGGGATCTCATACTTTGAAAACGTGTCATGATAGTTTCATTGTCAATACAAGAAAAAACATCTTTCTCAATATAAACAACTAAGCTATCATTTAACCATTGATCCCCCATTCTGTTGCGGAGTGGACTCTTGATGATATTCATGGCAGAAAATGCTCTCTCCACTGAAGCAGTTGCAACAGATAAAACTAAAGCCAATTCAATAAGTAAATACACATATTGAAATACTCGATGCAACCTTTTTTCCACCATTTTCTTAGCAAGATCACTAATGCTTTGCAACTGAGAAAAGTCACTTCTTGAACGCATAGAATGAATATAAATATCGAGTTGATCTTCAAGTGCCAATAGGTCTTGCTTCGTAAAATCTTGAGGGTACAATTGAGCAAGGCGAAGTAGCTTTTCTTTGTCAAAAGCTGCAAAGAATTATTTGGACTCAAACTAGCCAAACAAATGAGCAATTCGGTACTTGTTTCATTGAAGCGATCATTTAACTCTGTAAGTTGGGAATCAATGACAACAAAAAAGAGCTCCACTTTGTAACGATGATGGTTGGTCTTTTTGTGGGTATTACGACGCGACCTCCCATGAGCTACATATGTCTCATCCATGTTAATAACCTCAATATGATGTTGAACACAAAATGACAATACTTTGTCAACCAAAAGGTCAAACCCCTCATCATTCCTCATGTAGAATAGTTGTTCTTTACATGTGTTGACTAAAGCCATTGCATTCACAATCTCTTGATCATCCATTTGTAATGCTTGTGATAAATCATTCGTGATTCCCAATATAGATTTCATCAAAAATAAGAGAAACACAAACTCAAAAGAATGTATGTCTTTCAATAACCTATTTGCTTCGGCCACACTATCATTGATATTATCATCAACAATCATTTCAAGCACATTGACCACGGATGAGAACATAGTAATCAAACTAATCAAAGTACCATAATGTGAATTCCATCTTGTAGCTCCGGCACGTTTGAGACTAGTTTCTTGATTTAAGCCTCGTCCCGTCATAAGAGAATCATTTTCAAGAGCTTTCATAAGTTCTTTTTGTTGCATCTCTCTAAGTGCATCACGACGCTTACATGAAGCTCCAATATTATTTACCACATTATTAGCCAATAGAAAGAATGTGTTAACATCAACATTATTCTTTGCTACGGCAACAAGAGCTAATTGGAGTTGATGAGCAAAGCAATGAACATAGAATGCACAAGGTTGATCATTCAAAATCTTTGTCTTGAGTCCATTGAACTCACCTTTCATATTACTAGCACCATCGTAACCTTGCCCTCGTAAATTGGAGAAGCTCAACTCATTGAAATGAAAGAAGGCATCAATAGACTCCTTTAATGTGTTTGATGTGGTGTCGGGAACATGTTGAACTCCTACAAACCTTTCAATGACTTTCCCAGTTTTGTCCACATAACGCAAAACCACCGCCATTTGCTCCTTTATAGAAACATCACGTGCCTCATCAACCAATAGAGAAAAGACCTAGCATTCTTCATATCACTTATGATAGTTTTAATGGTTTCAATAGAACATGAATGAACAAGATCTTTTTGAATTGAATGAGCTATTAGCTTGAGATTTCCTGGAGCTTTATCTAACACAACGGCCTTTATTTTCTCATCATGATCCGCAAGGAATTGCAAGAGCTCCAAATAATTACCTCTATTGTTTGAAGTGTCACTTTCATCGTGACCACGAAATGAAAGACCTTGTCGCAACAAAAACTTAGTGCAATCAATTGACGCATTCAAGCAAGTGCGATAAGCCATACGAGCTTCTTCTGACTGTTTGACCAAAATTGTTTCAATATGTGTCTTTTGATTCATTAGATTACCAGCAGCTTCAACAGCTTTATTGTGAAAGTGAATGGAAAATCATGATCTTTAGCTCTAAAAGGCTCCATTAATATATATGCTCTTCGGACCTCATCTCGAATATCTGGAGGATAATCCTTCATTGGAATTCTCTTTCCGGGGTCTCTCTCAAGATTATCCAAATCAACTTTTAACTCATTTTGTTGTGGAGTGGAATTACCCCCAATTGGATTAGAACTACATGGAATTGGAGGGGAACTGTTCGGAATAGGAATGGAACTATCCAAGTTTGGAGATGAACTATTTGGAATATGATTGTCCGAACTAATCGATGATGATTTTCGCTTGTAATATCGTTCCATACTTCTAATTTCTACACATATCAATTAATAAAAAAAATCTATATCAATTGATGAAACTAAACAAATATTATATGAACACTATGGCAATGCTAGAGATGCATATAGCAAAAATGCAAACACAAAGGCAATGCTAGAAATATGTATAAAGAACACTATAAAAGAGAACACCATAAAAGCACAACCATACATGTATCATCTGTTTCTCCATCTAACTGCAAGCTTCTTTTTCAATTTTTTTTTTCTTTAAAAAGAGAACACCATAAAAGCACAACCATACATGCATCATATGTATTGCTTATCCATTACTTAACCATGCAGCATAATGGTGTTTAGTTATGAACTTTACAACTGCAAAGTCTATAGGCGGATGAATAAATGAGAAAAGTTTGCCTAAAGCATTGATGTACGAACGATTGACTATACTCAAAATGTTGACTGAAAATTAAGAAATTGCAGCATCAAATCACATATTATGGTATAATAAGGTGAAGATAAATGTCCACCAAGATTTCAAGGAAAAGATGATTACTCAGGTTAAAGAAATGGCCAGATTCGTCTGGGAGAGGCTCCACCTTCAACACTTTCCTGACCTTGCCCTCATCTCTGCACAACAAAACAATTTAGTACATATTTCACTTACATTACGAAACATCAACAAGTAGGAGATGCAATGAAGTATAATCATGTGTACTTGTCCCTAATCGCTTGTCTGGATAAGTTAATAATTTCAAAGAGAAAATGAAGATGTGTACTGAACGCAGCACGTGACAACCCCGATTATTGCAGTCACTTAGATTCAACAGCATGCTAATTAGGAGATCCATACACAAATAATCCAACACAGGCAACATCATTACTGTTACAGAAATCCATGATACCACAAAGAAAGGGAGAGAGTGAAGGAGTTACCTATTCACAACCCACTTCTCCCCGTCAACTCATCATTGCAAGATGCATAATGCACCACAACTGTTCTTATTTATGCATAAACTCCATGCCCCAAAAAAATTTCGACTTGTTTCTGGAACCAAATCATGGTTCAATTTCAGTTGATTGACTTATGAGTTGCTTGGAAAAATTTATGCTAGGCTTATTTCTTCTTTTTTGGGAGGGGATGCAGAAAGGTTTTGAATGAAGTTTGAGTTATGTGAAACTATTTCGTATAAACGGACAGCAATAAATCATGGACTGAGTGAAATTATCTTGGTTACTAACTTACTAATACTATCAGACACGGTAGATTCAGATAGTGGATGGCAAAATCATTTAATGGACAGAGTTAAAGAGAGCAGAGTAGTAGAGTACAAACCTGAAGGAACGAGAGCGAGAAGAGAGTGAAGTTCTGATTGTTGTGCAGTGCAAGCAATCAGATTCAGATTCAGAAACTAGTGCAGTGCAGAAGAGAGTTCGATGCTGACGCCGTAAGGAATGAGAGCAAGCAGACCTTGTTGTGTGAAGGATTTGGTAACGAGAACGAAGAGCGTTGAACGATTTGGTAAAGTGAAGTTCCGATTGTTGTGTGAAGGAGCTGAGCCTGAGTGTTCTCACGTGAGTGAGCAGTGAGGTTTTAAATTTTTTTTAATGACTTGGCTCAAAACGACGTCGTTTTGGCCAAGTCATTTTAAAAAAAAAATTTGCTTTCTTCTTCCTCATTCTGAAATGCCCAGCGACCAGAGCAGCCATGGCTGCTGTTCTTCTCCATCACTGCCAGACTTGGGTGGTCCTTGAAGATCCTCACAGCCATTTTTCCGAGCTTCGGGTGGTCCTGGGACCACCTTGGTCCCTTAGTAGATCCGCCCCTGCGGTGTTCCATTAGTGGCAAAGGTATGCTTACTTGAACTTGTTACACGGTTTTTTTTCTTATTCTTATTTGTTGTTCATTAATAAACTCATACCTCATCACTAATTTTTTGAAATTTCCATCTCATTATAACTTTTTAAACATGAAAAGATTGGCATAATGAGTTCTTAGGGCTCCAACATGAATACCATTTTTTTTCTTTTCTCAGAAAAAGAAAAGAGTTTGAACGGAATACCATTTGATTTTCTTTTGTTCTTGTCATAGTCTTCATTTTCCTTGATAGTGGTTGGTTTGATCTTGTTTTGATGAAATTTTTATTTTCTTTTATCGAAAATGTTTATGATTGTTGTACATTGTTATTATTGCTTAGTTTTACCCAATCAATTGTCATTGAGTAAATATTCAACTCATGTACCATTAGGTTCTGGGAAATATGATGCGTTGTAGGAGTGATGGTTGGCAGTCAATTCAAGAAAGTACAACATGGGATATACCAGAAGGGGAAAAACGAATTTTTTCGGTTTTGAAGTTGAGTTTTGATGAATTGAAATCACCGTTTTTGAAGCAATGTTTTGCATATTGCTCAATGTTCACCAAAGATTTTGAAATTGAAAAGGATGAGTTGATCCAACTCTGGATGGCTCAAGGATTGCTTCACCCTTCTAACAAAAATAATCTAGAGATGGAGGATGTGGGAAATGAATATTTTAATATTCTCTTGGAGAACTCCTTCTTTGAAGATGTTACCATGGATAATTATACTACTACCACTATTACCCACTGCAAGATGCATGATCTTGTGCACGATCTTGCCATACTTGTATCAAAACCAAAAAGAGGCGACTGCAATGAAGTTCGACATATGGCGCAGGTTTCTACCTCAGTACTGCAGGGGATTCCAAAAGGAAGTGCTCAAAAATTACGCTCAATATTTGTGAATGGTGAAATTCGGGGTAACATCTTATCAAGCTTTAAAGGCTTACGAGTCCTAAATTTATATTGGGCTGATATCAGTGAGTTGCCATATTCAATTGGAAAGTTGATACACTTGAGGTATCTTGATGTTTCTAGAACAAGGATCAGCAGACTCCCCGAGTCTATTGGAAAGCTTTATCATCTACAAACGTTAAAAATGCGTGATCTCAAGCTCGAAGAGTTTCCAAAAGAACTGAAAAATTTGATCAACTTGAGACATGTTTATTTTGATCATGAGGATAAGATATATCCACTTGGGATTGGGCGTTTGACTAATCTCCAATCACTATCTGTTTTCATCGTGGGTAAGGAAAAAGGTCGTGGAATAGAGGAGCTGGCTGGCTTAAAGCTACTGAAAGGTGACCTATGCATATATAATCTAGAGAATGTGAGAGATGAAGAAGAAGCGAAGAAAGCAAACTTAGTGGGGAAGAAAAACATCCGAAAACTAGGCTTTGACTGGAAGGCAGACAGGTCAAGAATCAGCGTTAACGATGAGGATGTACTAGAAGGCCTTCGACCACACCCTAAGTTGGAACTTTTAGGAATATACAACTTTATGGGTGATAAGTTTCCATCGTGGGTAACAAGTAGTTCATTTCCTGCATTGAAAGGATTACATATAGATAATGCAAGGAACCTAATTGAATGGATGGAAGCAGCAGAAAACATAATGGTGTTTCCTTGCCTTGAGGAGCTATTTCTGAGGAATTGTGATCAGTTGAGAAGCGCCCCCAGTCATTTTCCATCTCTTAAACGGTTAGAGATAAATTCCACGGTTAGTGGCATGCCAATAGCAAATATAAGCACCAACCTCAGCACTCTCACTTGTCTCACATTAAAGAAAATAAGGGGACTCGATTCTCTGCTAGAAGGGTTGTTGAAAAATAACAAGAATCTTGCATGTTTGGAGATAGAGGATTGTCCGGAGTTAACTTGTATTGCTACGGATGTATTTGGGTGTTGCGCCTCTCTTGATTCATTGCGTATTTCTACATGTGATAATCTTAGATGTTTGCCTGATGGTCTTCACACTCTTCTATCTCTTACGAAGATAGCTATAGAGCGTTGCGATAGTCTAGAGTTCATTCCAGTTATACACGGTCTCACTTCTCTCTGCGAATTGTCTATTGTTGACTGTCCTCAGTTATCCAGTCTACCTGATGGGCTAGATTACTGCACCTCTCTTCAAACATTGGAAATACAAAACTGCTCCAAAATAACGACAATTCCAATCACACAAGGCCTCCCATCTCTCTGTGCATTGCATATTAGATATTGTCCTGAATTATCAAGCCTACCGAGTGGGTTGGAATATTGTACCTCTCTTCAAAAGCTGACAATATCGTCTTGCTATAAACTCACCTTGATTCAAATTCATGGCCTCCCATCTCTCCGGAAGTTGTCAATAAAGTATTGCAGGAGTCTAGAGTCGATTCCAAGTTCTTTGCAAGGCTGCACATCCCTCCGTGAACTGCATATCAGTTGTTGTAACAGTTTGAAGCATTTTCCAGATGGGCTACAACCGTTTGCCTCTCTTGAGAATCTCACAATACGCAGTTGCCCAAATCTAGAAACTACTCCAAGTTTAGAAAGCCTCACGCACCTCCGTGAGTTGGTTATATATGAGTGTGATGGACTAAAAAGTTTACCTGGTGATTTAGCAGCATCTTCGCAATGCAGCCTTGCTCACTTGAATGTATTGAAAATTGGTGGGTTCGGGAAGGAGCTCGATTCATTCCCTCCTTTTCAGGTTATGTCACAACTTGAAAGATTAAGCTTGTGGGGTTGGCCTAAGCTCAAGTCTCTACCTGAACAAGTTCAGCACTTCACTTCTTTAACACATTTGGTTATATATTCCTTTGACGGCTTGGAGGCTCTTCCTGAGTGGTTGGGTAACCTTGCATCTCTTAAGTTCCTGCGTACAGAGAGTTGCAAGAATCTGATGTATCTACCTGTCGCTGAAGCTATGCAACGTCTCACCAAATTAAATGAGATACACATTTTTGGTTGTCCCCTTCTATAAGAGAGATGCAACAAGGAGAGCGGCCCAGAATGGCCCAAGATTTCACATATCGCAAAGATCACTGGTAGTTTTTTCTTTCCTCTTGCATTTCAGTTTAGTTTACTACTTATTATCCGATATCGTGTCTCTTTTACTCAATTCCATTATACCTGATGTGCTCAACTCTGTTTTTCGTAGAATTTACTTCCCCTCTACGATTTACTGCCTTGTCATATTTTTAAATCATATGATAACCTGATAATTAAGATATGCTCTCTTTGCTCATTTTAGTTGACTATCAACCATACTAGCCAGACACAAGACTTTGTCCCCAAATACTTCAAATTCGTGTGCATGGTTGATGTAAATCTTATTCAAGTCAGCCACTCTTTGAAAGGTACGACTTCTATTTTAAACTTTCAAGCATCTCCAAAATGAACAAAACATGATCATTTTCCCCCTCCGATATTGATCAAAGTTGTTTGTTGTTTCCCGAGACAGGTGCTGTTGGAGTTGAAGTTCTTTATGGAAAATTATGTTCATTTTAATTATAAGCGTACGAGCACTTCCCAATTGCTTGAAGTTGCATGGCATCAGGGTAATCTTTTCACCTCCTGTATCTCCTCCCCTCTAACTTCTCCGTGTTTAACTATAGCTTCACTCATGATGTCGTTTCTGCAGGGGCATTTTTATTCTTTTAGCATAATTCGGAGGTGGCTTTCCAGGATGGATTTCACTCAACTGGAGGAGCTGTTGTGCAGTCGGTCCAAACAAGCTCATATTTTAGGGGATCAGCATGTAATCTTAATCGTTGAATTTAATCTGCCATCTGTGGACTAGCAGGGCAACTGTAAAAAATTGTTTGCCTTCTGTGAGATGTAATAATTAAGGTCTTCTTCCAAAGGAAAAAGTACTGAAGAACATTTCTTATCATTTTGATTTATGTAGCTTGTACCAGATTGTGAAGTAAGCTGGTTGGTTAAGGCTCAGTAGCAAATCCGAGGCAGTCACCGTATGAGGCATTAAGATTTGTTTCTCTGGGTCTAAACCACATTTACTCCAAAAGTATGTAAGCAACATTGTCTGTTCTTTTTATTAATGTGACAATGCATAGAGAAAGTAGGACTTCTCATATAAGTTGCTTCCACCACATCCAAGGCAGGTCTACAGATAATGCAATTGTACATGGAGGGTTATCGACAAGACTGGAAGCTTTCTTTCGAACAGGACACTATGGCCAGAGGCGGCTGGTATATATATTCGTTTAGGGGTGTGTTATGCACACATCTCAAATTACTTTTCACACCCCTTGTTAATTTTTGTCCATTGATCTTTTTCAATTCATCCAATCTGACGGCCGAAAATTAGAAGGGTGTGTGAGAAGTAAAATGAGGTGTGTGGATATCACACCCCATTCGTTTAACCATCTTATTACTATGAGTATCATGTATGTATAATATTGAGATGTCCACAATTGTGACATTGTTTCTTTGGCAGGCAGCAAGGTGAAATTATAGGGATCCTGCTGAACAGCTGCTGAAATGTTCAGCAGCCAAGTCTTTTTCAAATTATAGTTGCGGGATTGTGGGGGGGGGGGGGGGAAGTAATATCTTGTAGATTCAAAAGGTAAGTCTCCTGGGCATCTGTCTGAATGGGAATTAATAACCATGTTCCGATTGATCATCATCTAGGAGTAACTAGTTCCAATTGAAGAGAATCCATTTTGATTAGGAAAACAGAATAGAGGGAAGTACATAGAGTTTTCCAAATCACAAATGACTTGATATGTCGTAGAGAATGAAAGATTTCTTCTTTCGCAATAGAAGTCAGGAACTTACTCGTGACTATTGCTAACTTGTAACATGGTGTTTTGTTTATCATTTGAAATGGACAAAGAAGCCGGAGATGATCCAGATATCAATGGCATCCTAAAAGCAGCATGGATTTTGAATTCTGTTTAGTCTTCGTTTATCTAGCTAAATGTGGATTCATATGAACACCCTTGTGCTTGTTTGAAGAGATATCCTTTTTGAAGATGTAAAAAAGGAGGGTTTGAGAACCTAGGATAATGTATACGAACATGTAACTTTTTACCAAAAAATATAAAATAAAAACATAACAAGTAGCTCTCGGAGTTGAAGACATTTTTTTTAGGGCATAGGTTTTTAATGTTTTCTTTTAACTTATTAAAAAAACCAAATCTGTTATTTTAAGAACCGAATTTGCTCAAGCAACTGATAGCATAGCATGTTTATTGACGGGGAAATGGCGTCTTCCGGCTCCCAAAATACAAAAAAGGGAATTCGCTCAAGCAACTTATAGCATAGCATGTTTACTAATGGGGAAATGGCGTCTTCTGGCTCCCAAAATACAAAAAGAAAAAAGAAAAAAGAGAGGTCTCGGTTTGAGGCTCTAAGCTGGTGAGTTTGTTTGATTGTGGCCAGGGAGAGTTTGAAATGCCTTTGAATCTTCCGAATCCCGGAATGGGTGGATAACCGTGGCTTGCCACTAGTTGTCCTTTTTTTAAAAAAATAAAAAAGGGAAAATGGCGTCAAATGACACGTTTAACTGCTATTAATCACTGAGTTACAGAATCACTTAACGTTTCTTTTTTTTTTTGTGTTTTTTTTTTTTGAATAAGTGATATTATCTATACTAAGGAGGTGGGAGAGTGCAAGATTTACTAGAATTTTTGCTCTGTTTCTAAAAATATTTTCACCAAAATTATTTTCAATTGTTTTAAAAGCATATCTAAACGAATTCATAGTAAATTTGGAATATATAATTAAATTTTTGGAGTACAATAACAATTTCTAGAAAGTAAATGAATCGTTATATCTAGGGAGTTGCTTAGTCCTAATTAATTCACCTTAGCCTAAACAATGGACCAAAGGATTGATTGTTTGAGTGTGCCGCTACTAGATAAAGCTAGAAAACAAGATGAATGGATCATCACGCCTCAAAAGGTGTTGACTTTTAATCGAGCGGTTGTGCATCGAGTAGGAAAATAGCTCGATTTGGTTCTTTTTATGCCTTTAGTGATGTCAGAACTTAAGCAATTTTCTTACTCCAAGCAATTAAACCTTGATAAACCAGAACAACGGATTTTCCTTGTAAAAGAATATTTTGAGGAGGAAAAATCACAGAGCATCTTTTAATTAAAAATTACAGAGGGAAATGCTTTTTCTTTAACTTTTAACTTTATCTTGATTTATTAACTTTGTCTTTAACTTTAGCTTTAACTTTATTTATTTCCTTTTCAAATGCTATCTTTTAACTAAAGCAAAAGGGGAATGCTTTTCCTTAAACTTTAACTTTAGCTTTAGCTTTTTATTTTTCTTTTGAAGATTATGAACATCTTTCAATAATAAGAAAAATGAAACGATTGAGTCATCTTTAGCTTTATCTTTTTCTGTATGGTTGATGTGCTGATAATTATATGATTCAAAATTTTTGTGCCTGCACTTTGAAAAAGAATATTCTACAAACCAAAAATCATTGCTGAAGGCTTAAGACTCACCACAACCAAAAAATGTATCATGAGAAGGAAGGAAATTTTATTTCGCATGTATCATTGTTGGGAGATTACAAAAAATTTAGTGAAGCGGCCGAACAAGGATAAGTTTCCATCCTCTCCATTTCAAGCACGTCCATATAACGTCGGGGATGATGATGAATCAAAGACCGTTTCGATAATGAAACCATTATAATTACGTTTTTATGAAGAAAAAAATTTGGTGTCAAAATTTAATTTTTTTTTAATCGAAATGTTTTATCTATATATATAAAGCCAGAACGTAAAAACGGTGAAACATTCATAAATCCAAAATTAACCATTTAATTACAGTTATGAGACGTGCAAAGAGTTGAAAACTCTATTTGAAACAGTTGTTGTAGTAGTCCCACTCCAACTTCCCCAAACCAACTTTCCCATCCTTGCGCTCCAACTTCTTCCCGTTCCTCCTCCACTCTCTCTCTCTATGGGTCTTACTCCTCCATACAAAAACCGAATCGTTGCCTAAAGTAATGGAGTCCATCCCATCGTCGCCAAATCCCATCATCTTCTCGAACCAGTAGTTATGTTGGAGAGACATCGACGTTGCTGCGAAGGTACCGCAATGGGCGCCATCATCCTTTATTTCCAATCGGGTCTCGGAATTAGTAATCGCCAATTAATTTTTGAATTTTTCCTTGATAATTGTTGAATTAATTCGAACTTGCCCAGAGAGAGGAAGAAGATGAAGATAGTGACGTACAACGTGAACAGGCTCAAATTGCCAAATTTATAAGATCGGCTTACAGGAAACCAAACTGCAACGGCGGGAATTGACCGCCGCCCTGGTCATGGCAGAGGGCTACGAGTCATTCTCCTGCAACCGCACCTCCGAAAGAGGTTGCACCGGGTACTCTAGGTAAGTGTTTGTTGAAATGCCTCAACCACCCACACGACACTCTTCAAATGTTGCACCTTTAGTTTCGAATTTTGATTCTTTTTTTTTGCATAAAATGTGGTTTGGTCCGACGTTTTGCCTGTTGAAGTCGACGTTATAGGGTGACGAAGTGGCGTTGCCGGTGGCGGCGGAGGAAGCATTCACTGGAGTTCTTGACAGTGGGAAAGGACAAATGAATGCAGTTGCGGAAGGGCTTAAGGAGTTTTCGAGAGATAACCTACTGAAGTTGATGGCAACGGGCGGTGTGTTGTAACGGATCATGGGCATTTTGGTACGTTTGCCTTAGATTCACGCTTAAAATTCAATTCTCTGTGATTTCATTTTTTGGAGAAAGTTTAAAGATTTGTATTTACAGTGGTTGTGTAGTTCTCTTTTCAATTTAAATGACCCTCGAGCAAGGAAAAATGAAACGGAAGGGATACAGTTTAAGTTCAAGTTTTTCAATTTGTAGTTCTCTTTTATATCATTCAGAACGTTGGGCAGAGGAAATCCTCAATCTGCAAAACAAGTTATTGCAGGTTTGGAGTTACACTTTATGTTTATTGTAATTAGTTGAATGCAAGTGTATTCTGGGACATGCGTACTTTCTGTGCAAACTGAGTTAGAGAGGGAGCGTATGGCTTTGGAGTTGGAGGAAAAAAAAGCCCAAGCTGAAAGAGAGAAGATGGTGCAACAGCAAGCTAAGAAAATTGAGAACCTCAGCTTAATGGTGTTGTATTCAAATAGAGATAGAATCGCGATTGCTTTAAAAAGGTTTGCATGACTAATTAATTTTCATTTCAAACTTCGGTATAATAGTTGATGTTCATATTTATGTTCGATTCCTAATTTTGTTGTTCTGAAAATGAAAAATACCTACTTAAAAGTGTAAAATTCTATTATCTATAAACACAAAAGATGTGCTTGATATTATAATGTGCCGTTTCCAATGAGATAAGATTTAGTTAAACACTCTCTGTTGAATCGATAATTTTAGCACGTTACAGGTTAGAAGACGTGGTCGACAGCCACCAATGCCAACTCAAGAACTCAAGACAAGCTTCCAATTTTGCCTTCACACGCTTCCTCTCTTTTATTTGGAGCAATTGGAGATGGCAACCCAAAATAATAACTAGCCAAGGTATAATTCAGTTTTCCATTTTATTATTTGTCATTTGCAGAGAGATAAATAGAGCAGTTATGTACTATGAGTATCCGATTTCTTTGTTTACATTGCGGGTAGTCAAATGGTTGAAACAGTTTGTTGTTAAATGGCTTTATTTGCATTTTACAACTTTCATTGGAATAATATTTGATTGAGTTAAAACTTTGATTTATGAATTTACACGTTTTTATTTGTTTCTCTGTCATATGGTTGGCATCATTTCAGTCGAATAACTCTTAAGATAGTTAAGTTGAGAAATTTAGCGCTGATGATTTCCTTTTTTTTCCTGCTGTTTATAGATGCCTGTCATTTTATTCATTTTTCATGTTAACTTTGTTCTACAAGCTTCCTGTGGCTTAAAGCATTGAAGTTATTCATTTTAAAAATATATATACATTTAGGTGTTTTGGAAAAGGTATTTTATGTGCATAAAGGCTATTAAGCTTAACAAATTGTACCCTCTTGCTAGCTTCATCAGCTTATGTTTGTGAGGCAAAAATGAGATGACTTGGTTGTTTAATCAAGTTAATATTTTGATTAAAACAATCCATTGTTGCTGCTTATTAACTGTTATTTGATTGAATTTGGTTTTCTCAAGATTCTGGATTATGTTTACTTCGCGGCGAATTAGAGAAGTTTGATTGACTATGAGGCGACGTGGGATGCTATTAATATTTAGTTATGGCCTCACTATTGAATGCTTTCTCTTAATTTCTTTTTTGTAGAACAACATTGCTAATTGTCTTCATATGTTCATATTGATTTCTTCTGCTTTCTGTTACACCATATGTTCAATAACAATGATGTAGCCGGGTTTGCTATGCAAATATGTTTTTTTGTTACACCATAGGTTCAAACATGAAGTTTAAGACACATTACATTTAAATCTGACGGTGCAAACGTTTGTTCATACAATAAATCCACGTAAAACTCACAGTCAATCTGTTTGTCTTTTATCCATGTATGCTTTCTCTTCATATTAATTCTATTTGTTTCTACTTAGATGATTTTGTGTATTGCCTATCCCAAATATTTAGCTTATGTAGTTGCATGTCAATTTCATTCAACGCATGTGAACAACATAAAATAAAATGTCCATGAAGTGGCAAGTGGGTCTTTACCACAGTGGTGAAAAGAAATTGAGCTCTTGCATGATGGTTTGTGTTTGAATCTCACCGATGGTTAATCTAACAAAATTTATTGTTTAATAAAAACAAAAAAAAAATGTTAATGAAGTGCTATTCTCCATTGATACCCAAATGTTTTTTTTTTTCATATTCTATTCTAATGTGTATCTTCTGGAAAAATTTGATCAAAAGAAAGAATAATTTATATTGAATTCTGTTTTTCTTGATCAGTTGCATATACATCGTTTATTCAGTTTTCAAGAATTTTCTTTCATTCTTTGTATTTAAAATGGTGAATGACAACCACATGCCAGTTGCCAAACGCACAAAAAATAAAACAAATAGTTGTCGAAAACAAAAAAATAAAAGGGGACCCAAAATCAAAAGTAAAGAGTACTTAATACCAAACTAAAATTTTGGTTTTAACATAAATAAAATATATTTAGTAATCACTTAAGAAAGTCTCTTGCATGCATGAGAGTGCCCGATTACATTTTAGTTGATCCTTTGGCAATGAGCAATAGGTTTTGGTGCAGAACCAAAAGTCTCCATATGTACTTTATTTGCGATTCAGGAGAAGAATCTAATCTCTCTTTTTTCGAGTCTTTCGATTTCAATTACAGTTAAGTTTTTGCCTAAATAGTTGGACAAGGCCATCTCCCTTGGCAATGAGATCCTATTTATTTTCAGTAATTACTTAAGAAATATACGAATATCTAAAGCAACACATCTTTGGGGCGCACAACGCTCGTGATGCAAAAATGTCTCTCGTATGCGTATGAGCTCGTGCGAAGAGGCTAATGTTATGATAAAAGTGTCCTAGGGTCTAAACATATCATCTTTTTGCCAGAAACCTTCTTGTAGGACTTTCTCACACCGAAGATAAAATCACAGCCCAACGCCTCAGAACAGCGTCTCAGCTCTCTCAGCTCGGCGCCTCTGAGCCGGGCCCTGCACCACACCGACATGACGTCAGCCCAGCTGACAGCCCCTTTACCTCATGTGCTGACAACCCACGTGCTGGGGCCAACCCACAATTATTCAATGCAATAATTCCATGTTGTAATAATTCAGTGGACCAAGTACTCTAGCCTGTGGGGGGGCCGATGAAGCAGGTGAGTTCACATAGTTGGTCAAGACCAGGTATAAAATATCAATGATATCGGAAATATCGGTAGTCCAAAAATATGGAAATTTCGATTGAAATATCGGAATATTATCGATATCGATAAAATTGAATAAAAACCACGGAAATTGTAAGAAAAACTTGGAAATTTTTATTGAAACTTTGCAGGATGTTTATTTAGTCAATTATCTATTAGTTTATCACAAAAAATTGGAAGGAAATGCATTGCATGATAGATATAACTGATTTAAGTTGATTATATAGTGAGCTGGCAAATATTGTGAGTGTAGAAAATATGTAGTAATTAATGAAAGAAGTTTAAACACACCATAATCATTTATATATAATGAATTAGTACAATATTTTACACTTTATACATTGCATGGTAAGATACATGAGTGACTTAGCAATGTCTAAAATATCGATGATATTGGAAATATCGGTAGTCCAAAAACACGGAAATTTCAATGGAAATATCGGGATATTATGGATATTTTAGACCATGGTCAAGACTCGCTCACAACAAAAAGCAAAAGCACAGATTGCTGAAATTTTAAACAACCTTCAAGACTAGGGAACGTTCGGTTTTATTTGAAACGCAGTCTTTGGTTCTGGGCAGGAGGCGAACAAAGAAAGGTCTCAGATTTTCATCGGGAAGGTTACATCCTCTTGCGGCAGTTTAAAGAAGAGGGTTTTAACGAAAAATGTGCGGTATTGTTCACTTTAACAAAAAATTATATTTTTACATTAAAAAGTTAAACCTGATACTATTCATTTTACCTTTTATTTTGTCCTTATCGTTAAAACTTAAAGTTTTCAAGCCTTTTTCATTAGTTTTCCTTTTAAAAAAAATACAATGTACTCAAACCAACTCTTCCTTATTCCTTTGCAGTAAGATTATGGGATAGAAGTTTTCGTAACATGTAGATTGCTTTTAAAACTGATTTTATAAAAAGCAGAGTTTAGTCTTTAATTAATATTTTAAATTAATGTAATACTCTCATGAGTTTTTTAAATTTTTAAATAACATTACTTATCATTCTACACACATTTTATCTTTTGGGAGAACAAAGTGTTGTCACTACCTATCACTATATACATTAACCTTACACCACCACTGCCACCATCATTGTTGCCACCACCACTGTGAGAACAAATTTCACAGCTAATTGAATTGGAAAAAACAAACTACACTCACAAAAAAAAAGAAACAAACAGAGTTAGACCAACACTAATGTGGTGTTAGCCAAAAGGCCTCGACTCTACCTAAAAGTCAGAAAGTAAGTATGATGTAATAAGAGTGTCCGGAGAGTATTGAGTACTAAAATAAGAGTGTTGGAATAGTTATTGATTACAAAGCAAATTTTAGCCATCAAAAGTAAGTTATCAGATAGCAACAGTATGTAATATCTATAGGACGATATGAGGTCATCTCCAACCAAAAGGTTCAGAGGGTCAAAGGGTCGAAAATAGCCTGAAAAACATCTCCAACCGAGGGCTAGGCCATACGGCTTGTGGCCCCCATGGAATCTGAAAGGGCCAAAGGGCTGGCCCAATCCAACCAGCTAACCAGCCCAGGGCTGGCCAGAAATTTAAAAAAATCATTTCGGATATAACTGATATGAATACTTAAACAAAAATTTGAATCCAACGGCTACAACGGCTAGTCTAGCTGTTGTATTCAAATTTTTTTTAATGAATTTAAACCTATTTTTTTCCTGTAAATACCTAAGTCATTCCTACACTATTTCTCACATAATTTTCACCATTCCATACTATTTCACTTCATTCTAATTTTTTCCTATAACTTCTATTTACAAAATTTGTTTCATATTTTTTTTAAATTACATTTTTTTTCCATATAACTTCTATTTTACAAAATTTGTTTCATATATTTTTTTTAAATTCCATTTTTTTCCTATAACTTCTATTTTACAAAATTTGTTTCATATTTTTTTTAAATTCCATTTTTTTTCCTATAACTTCTATTTTACAAAATTTGTTTCATCTTTTTTTTTTTTGAAATTCTATTTTTTTCCTATAACTTCCTAAGCCATTATACAACATTAAATTCAATTAAGTAACATGAAACAACATTAAACAATATGAAACAACATTAAATAACATTAACAAACATAAAAATTATACAACATAAAAAAAACATTTAACAACATGAAACTTAAACAACATTTTTAAAAACATTTAACAACATAAAACTTAAATGTCTACTCCATGCTTCTTTCGGATATAACCGACAGGAATACTTAAACAAAAATTTGAATCCAACGGCTACAACGACTAGTCTAGCCGTTGTATTCAAATTTTTTTTAATGAATTTAAACCTATTTGTTTCCTGTAAATACCTAAGTCATTCCTACACTATTTCTCACATAATTTTCACCATTCCATACTATCTCACTTCATTCTATTTTTTTCCTATAACTTCTATTTTACAAAATTTGTTTCATATTTTTTTTAAATTACATTTTTTTTCCCTATAACTTCTATTTTACAAAATTTGTTTCATATTTTTTTTTTAAATTCCATTTTTTTCCTATAACTTCTATTTTACAAAATTTGTTTCATATTTTTTTTTAAATTCCATTTTTTTCCTATAACTTCTATTTTACAAAATTTGTTTCATATTTTTTTTAAATTCTATTTTTCCTATAACTTATATTTTACAAAATTTGTTTCATCTTTTTTTTTTTGAAATTCTATTTTTTTTCCTATAACTTCCTAAGCCATTATACAACATTAAATTCAATTAAGTAACATGAAACAACATTAAACAATATGAAACAACATTAAATAACATTAACAAACATAAAAAAAACATTTAACAACATGAAAC